AAGAAATGTGCCAAAGAATGGGAGAGCATTCATCTGGAACCTCAGTACATAAGTTAAATGATGTTTACTCATTATTTGGCCCCAAAGAGGGGGGTGTCAGGCCATGCTGTCATAAATCTTCAGAGCCCCACAATAAGTGACACCTTTTTCTATACCTAACCTACCCTTTGTCATGATCCCAAGCCGTTTCCTGTTTTGAACTCTTATTTTGAAGGGACTTCCTGTTTTGTGCTATCTCACCTGTCCCAGCTTTATTCTGGCTGTTCATTAACTGATCAGTTTCACTGGTTGGTCATTGTGTCTGCTCTGTCAGTCTTTATAACTACCTCACCTCCCTCAGTCTGGTTGTTGGTTCATCTGTGCTACACACCCTGCTTCTGCTCCTGTTTTGCCTTCCTTGTTGCTATCACTCCCAGCTTTGTCTCAACCATGATCCTCGTCAGCTACTTACTCCTGCTTTGTCCTCACCCGGTTTCACCTGTCTGTTACTCACCCCTCAATGCTATGTGTTCCCTGATTACTTTGTTCTGGTTTGTAGTATGTTTGTTCTTGTAGTTTGTATGTTCTCTGCTCTCAGTTTATGGTGATTGGCTCCCTGGCTTTTGTTTACTTATTTTCTCTAGAGTGTGGTTTTGTCAGGTCTGAGCCGTATTTTGATTCTCCCTCCCTTATTTAGTTTTTCCCTCCCTTAGTGTTTGTTTGGTTTGGTTACCTGTATTTCAGGTGTATTTAGTTTTTGTTTATTAAAACTCTTTATTAAGACCCTTTTGAGACTTGTCTGAAGCTGGTTCCTTATTTTGCTATTTCGTTGCAATGGACACAGGAATGGACACAGCAGACTAGGACAGGGAGGGGGGTTTATAGGCCAGGTGTGCTACAAGCTCTGTGTAATGAACTTATCACCACCTTAGAACCCAGGCATAGAATAAAAACCTGCAACAGGTTTGAGGACGTATGTTTAGCCGTGGTTCATGGGGAGACTGGCATGGCCACAGATGGTGGCTCAGGTGGTCACTATATGGGCCACCTGTGAAGATTCTTTGGTGGCTCCAAAACCTGTATACAGTCAGGGAAAAAATTATTTGAACCCCAGCTGATTTTGTAGGTTTGCCCACTAACAAAGAAATGATCAGTCTACAATTTCAATGGTATGTTTATTTGAACAGTGAGAGACACAAAAAAAAATCCAGAAAAATGCATTACAAAAAAAGTTATACATTAATTTGCATTTTCATGAATGAAATAAGTATTTGATCCCCTATCAGTCAGCGAGATCTCTGGCTCCCAGGTGTATTTTATACAGGTAACGAGCTGACATTGGGAGCCCTCTCAGCTCGTTACCGTTATAATAGAGACCTGTCCACAGAAGCAATCAGTCAATCCAGATTCCAAACTCTTTACCATGGCCAAGACCAAAGAGCTTTCCAAGGATGTCAGGGACAAGATTGTGGACCTACACAAGGCTGGAATGGGCTACAAGACCATCGCCAAGCAGCTGGGTGAGAAGGTG